GCCGGTGTGAGCTCTCCCGAGCGACGCGGGGGGGGGGGCAGGCAGCGCGGAGCCCCCCGCCGGAGCGCGGCTGCGGCAGCTTCCCAGCCCTCTGCCCCGGGGGTGGGAGCGGCAGGGCACCCCACTCCAGAGGCAGCGGGTCCCCGTCCGAAACGCATGCCTGCGTCCCCCTGCTCTGCAAGCCCTTCAGACCCGACAGCGTTACCGGCTGAACGGGAAGGAAACACAGCAGCCATTCTGAAATTGCCCCTACAAATGCAGATTCCAGCACGTCCATGCTGGCAGCACTGCAAGGTAACAGCCAGCACGGTGAGCTTGCCAGATGCTACTATTTTTGGCTCAGTCCTTCCATGGTGCCATGCAAACTATAGATAGTGTGTGTTGCTGCTTCGAACTCAGCAGAGTAGCCCAAGCTCCAGCACCACCTACTACCTCGCTGGGCACCTACCTCATCTAAGGTTTAGCAAATACTTCCATTAACTCTCCCAAGTTTTCCCGAACTGATAAACGTTAGGTGTAACTGCTCCTACACAATGTCAATGGTGGAATGTGCGGCCCAGCCCCTTGCTACTTCTAGGACCGCTTCTGGTATTTTCATGCTGTTTTCCTGCTTAAGCGATGTTGTAGCCACCAGAGGCGTATTAAACTATAACGAGCGCAAGGGGGAGATACCAATGCGATACCAGATGTCAATTCCCACATAAAAATGGGAGAAGACCCAAGTTTTACTAATGGATGTTACGGCACTGTAAAACTTGACAACACCAACAATGGCATGTTCACATCTGTTGCTTTAACGAAAGGTTGGTTGTCCTCTTATAAGATCCCTACTACCTGGGACCGAGTGTATCCCAGGAAGAGGATGGAATGAAAGACAGCAAAAGGATTCCCCCAACAATCTGATCTCCCCAGAGTAAGCACAGACGTTTTCAAAAGTTATTTTAATTCACACATGCATGTGTTTTACAGACCCTTGCTTCAACACTTTGACCTATACAAGCAATCAACCCTGGGAAGAAAGATGACAAATTAAATATCAAGGGAAACCTTCTCCAAACAAAAACAAGCGTAAGAAACCTCGCGTGAATCATTCCTAGCAGTAGCAGCAAGGTAGACTGCCTCACAAGGGAGAAAACAACAGCTTCCTCAGTTTCCTATTTCTCACACACTACCTCATAACCTAAAGCAAAGGCACTGAGCTACAAAAAACTTCAGACTGAGTGGCAACAGTATAAGGTTTGTTGTGAGTAATGCTTGGAACATGCATAGTTACAATGAGGCTGCATTACTTCTCTGGACTGCCAGTGTCATTTCTTGGTTGGGTTTCACGTGCGAACTCTGAAACATACGAAGCATTATGTAGTTTCCACTAAAAGTCAAATTAGATGTATCAGTAAAACTGTTTGAGGCAGTCCCCAGTGTTGGTGGGGGAAAGATGAAGATCCACAACAGTTCTTTTTTCCATACAATAAGAGTGATAAGAGTGAAAGAGACTATGATCAAAAATAATGCAGACTAGGCAAGCATAAACAACACACAGCTTATAAAGGTATTCCTTAATGTCAAGTAGCTAGGAGTCGAGATTCACTAGCTTCTGAGGTCCCACATGACATTTCGCATGCCCTGATGGCAGGTCAAGAGCAAAGAAACTAAGGCTTTAAATCCACATATGAGTAACTGTTGCATCAGTTTTGTTCTTTCAGCTCAAGCTCACGCAGTAATGCAAATGCTTTAGTATTTCATTATGTCCACAGTATTTTGTTTAGATGTCACAGAGATGGCTCCATCTATCTCTGCCTTTCATCTTGTTCACATAATTTGGTTTGCATCAAGTATGTTTTCTCACTGTACCGGTGCAAAACCAGAAATCCCTGAGACTGAAAAGAAAAAAATGTAAAAGAAACCAAACACATACTGAGCCTGGGGGGAAAGAATTGCGTGTTCACTTGAGAATCAGAGGTGTGAACAGATTCAGGGGCAAAGAAACACCATCTCCAGAACAACCCTGTCTGGGATACCAAGAGTGTCTTTACTGACTTGTGAAATGCCCTATACATTTCATGGCCCTCTATAAGTAATAAAATACGAGTACTAGGACAGGTAAGATCCTGGATTGGGGAATAGAGCTGTAGGGACAAAGAAAGCATCACTCCAAGTAAATCTCATGGTTCATCTTTTTCTCATCTTAATTCTTCATTTAAACAGTGTTAATTGATTATTACAGTTAAATGTAGAAGCTTCACCTAACTGATTGCTTTCCTTCCATACTTACTATTACTGTTCCTACAGGTCTGACAGCTTTCTCTAAGCCTTAAGCTTTGTCTCAATTACACCCTTTTACAATTTTGATCAGTTTCCACGTTGATTTGATTAAGTTAGCATGATTTGTCTTGTGGAAAAAGCCTTTGTATATGCTTGCTAAGCTTACTGAAATCAATTCTCTGTCTTACTATTCCCCGTATTAATGTATGATACAAAAACATGGTGACATATGTCAGCTAAGGCTGAACTGTACATGCAGGTACAAAGAAAGCAAGCTACGCGATTAAATCATAGACATTAACAGGAAAAAACAATACACAATCACCTCATCTTGAAGACTAGGGTGATGACAAGAGGCTCAGCTCTAAGTTGGTTATTTTGGTTTTTTACCCATTATTTTAGAACATTTTTTTGTCTATGGCACTCTGATGGAGGCAGTCTTGAGCTGTAGAGCTGCCTGATAGAAACTATCAGCAGGTCAGTGGCTGTTACTTCACAAAGATACCAAGCAATGCCACCATCAAACAAGAGATGGATGGCTGCAGGCAGGGCAAAGCACACGTTGGTGCAGGAGAAAGACTGTTGTTTGCTGCTTTGAAGTAGCATGTTCCTGGCACATATATTCACAGCCAATGACTGAGCTGCCAAACCCTGTTCTGACACCCTTGCCCTGAACGGCCAGCCAGCTGGGGCAACACCTGTAAACTTGGCAGCAGTATCAATACTTCTGAAAGGAGTGTTGGGTTGAACCTCCCGGTGGGATACCTGTAGATGGAAAAAAAAACAGATGGCTGCGCTGTCTGAATCTCAAGCCTGCTGAGTATCGACATGGGCCACTGCCCAAAGTCCTGGAAGAGCAGCAGAACAGAGCTGGAAAAGCAAGAAGCACCGCAAGGGTCTGTGTTTTGCCTAACCTTCCACAATACCTCTGTTTCCTCCATGCAAAACCAGATCTGTACCAGTTGATCGCACATTGGTTAGGAGCTACCGTTCCCACAGAAAAGACAAACGTGCTTGTAAGAGACAGGGAAATCCCATTTCACTGCATAAAGCACTGAAAAGATTTGAACTGCAATCCCTTGTTCAGCTCTAGTCAGCAAAGGAATTCTAGCTGCACCAAAATCAGAGAGAAACTCTAAGAATGTTTAGGGAACCTCAGAGCCATTATTTGAGAGTAGAAAAATAAAAATTGGTTTGTTCAGTTTATCAAACTAAAATCCGATGTGACACGCTATTGTGCTCTCCAAATATTCAGGGTGAGGCTAACACAAGCAAGGGGCCAAAAAGAACTATTAAAGCGCAGAAGAATAAATTAGCATAAACTCACTATAAATACTTTTTCCTGGCATTCCAAAGGTTGTTGATCTTCAAAAGTAGCCTTCCGAAATAAGGACTGCATGCAAAAGAAACAGTGACTCAAAAGTAATCACCGCTGTCAGCCATCACTGCCTCCATGTGGGAGGAGGTGAAGATAGCTGGAAGGATAGAGACATCCTTCCTCTGGTAGCTTGCAGCCTGCAGACACTACTTCATCCAAGGGCTCTGGGCTGGGGTACTACTGCTGCTCCCTTCTATCTGCTGCCGTTTGGTTTAATACCAGATGAGTGTAAATTCCAAAATCACTAAGGAAACTGAGGATGTTTATTCCCTTTGAAGACGAGGGAGCCAGCACCTCACACTTCCCTCACTTCTCATCCATTGCTATTTAGTGTCTCTTCCTTCCTCCTACTCCTTTATGCCTTTTCCTTGCCCTCCTTTCTCCTGTCTCATCACAAATCTCCCCCTCCACACACATGCTTCTTTCAGTGAGTGGGATCACTCCTCCATCGTTTTCCCTTGCAGGATCTGCGTTTAATTTATAAATGAAGCAGAGAAAAGAGAGGAAGAGAGTAAATGGCATCCTCCTTCCTGAATCCAAGGTTTCTGTCTGCATTTTCATCAGTCTAGAAGAATCATCACTGTCATTATCAGGTGGGCCTGGAGGAATTCTAGAGGAATTTACATTCACCATTTTTTCTCCTGGAATTGAAGAAGAAACCTAAGCGTTGCCTTATATTCAAGTAAATGTGGTACTCTCAAACTAAGACTAGATTTGTTTTTGAAAGCAGCTGTATGACATAATTCCCTGAGATGCCTTATGGTCCAACATTTCTAACTCTGTCCTGCTGCCAGTGAATGCTAGTTTGCCAGCACCCACTTCCAAGATTTCATTGTCTTACCACCAGAAATAGATTGCACATCTCCTACATAGCTCTGTGGCACTACACCCCTACAGGAATTTCTTAAAGATACTGAGCCCTGAGCAATGCTTTCATTTCTTAGTCAGGTTTATCAGTGGCTGTTACTTCCTACAGTGTTTTTTCTGACCATACAGAAAGAACAGTTTACGCCAGTAGACTGATTATGTCAGCTTGTCATTTCTGTCTAATTACTCCAGGTTTATCTAGATACATCATTCAGCTTTACTTCCCAAAATCCCTGCAGATATTTTTGCACTTTCAGCTGAAAATGATAAAAATATTGTAAAAAAACCAGTGTCTTTTTTACTTATCAGTTTTGAAATGTAGCAATAGAGGCATTGTGGATCTGAAACCTAACCAACAGCATTCCTTTCTTGGCAAAATTGTACTTGCACACAATGAGTCTTCTTTTCTACTGCATCCTCTGTGGATCACATCTGAGAAATCACATACTGATAAAAAAGTTTTTTAAGTCATATTTACATTACAGACAATATGGTCTGTGTTTTCAGAAAGAGTTAAGTCGTAGCAATCATACAGCATTTTTCTTTTTGATCACTCCTGCCAAACCAGACCAAGCTGATTTCTAGTAAAACTAACGGATTCCAAACATCACCCATGATTTCTGTACCCATTCTTCCTATCTTTGAAATAATAGGGTAATATTTTTATTTCTCAGGGTCTGAAAGCTTGTAGTGTATGAAGTATGCATTCACTAGTGAATATGAGGTTGCCTTAGAATAATTAGCTTCTGGTTAGAATCTGTGAATATTTG